TAGGAAAAAATGTTCAACATCACTTGTCATCAGGGAAATGCAAATCAAAACTACCATGAGATACCATCTTACACCAGTGAGAATGGCACATATTAAAAAAACTAGCAACAACAAATGTTGGCGAGGCTGTGGAGAAAAAGGAACTCTCCTGCACTGCTGGTGGGAGTGCAAACTGGTCCAACCACTATGGAGAGATGTGTGGAGATTTCTGGACCTACTAAACATAGAGCTTCCATAGGATCCAGCAATTCCACTCCTAGGTATTTACCCAAAGGACACAGAAACATCCATTCCAAAGGGCACCTGCACCCCTATGTTTATAGCAGCACTGTTGACAATAGCTAAGCTTTGGAAACAGCCCAAATGCCCAAAAATAGATGACTGGATCAAGGAGATGTGGTCCATATATACCATGGAATATTACTCAGCATTCAAAAAATGCAATTTGCAGCAACATGGATGGCACTGGAAGGGATCATGCTCAGCGAAATAAGCCAGAAAGAAAAAGAAAAATACCGGATGGTCTCACTCATAGCAGGAATCTAGAAAACTTAAATAAGGGACCAGGAGAATGAATAACTATAAGAAAGTGAAAATCAAAATCAACAAAAAACTATGAACCAGAGACACTTTTGGGGGGGTGGGGGGCAGGAGGGGAGGGATTGGGGTCAGAATGGGGGGGTTGCAATTGTATGGGGAATATAAAAATAAAATTTATTAATTAAAAAAAATACAGGAAACATAAAAAAAATTTATTGTTGAGTTGTAAGACTTATGTACATACCTTGAATATTAACTATCAAATGTATGCTGTAGAAATATCCTCTCCCATTCAATAGGCTGTGTTTATTTTGCATGTGTTGCTATTTCTTTTGCTGTGTAAAAAGGTTTTTAATGTGATATAGTCCCAATTCATGGTGTTTTCACACCCTGCCTCGTCTCTAAAAATTTCTGCTTGTTGATTTGATCAGACAGTCCCAAATCAAGGACAAAGCAGTAGCTTTACACATCACTGATAACTAGTAAATGAAGAGAGGGTAGTTTGCCACTTACTTTCCTATTTACCTTTAGCCTTGTGGGACCACATAACACTGGGCATAGGGGTGGGTCCTGGAAATGGGGCATCTAGGTGGATCCCATCCCTGGTATCATGCCCAGTAGTTGGGGATATGGGCCCATTCTTGTATGTGGTGCTCTCCTTCGGATATGGGGGCAAGAGCTCTGTCTGCTACTTCCAGGTCTGTGTCCTTTCCCTTGGCTCTCTCTCCCACCCCTTCATTCATCCACTGGATAAAGTAGAGAGTATCCACAAGATACTGAGGATAACAGAGCTATAAGAATATTCCCAGATCTTGGAAATATTGTATAGACCATCTGTCAATCACTGGTACTACTGCATACATTAGGAAAAAAAAAACCTATTGTGATAACTCAGATATTTTCAGACTCACTGTTAACCTAACCAAAATGAGAATTAGATGAGAATTAGATCATTAGGAAAGCCATCAACTAATTTAAAACAGTGGTCTCCTAGGAATGAGCAGAAGTCTCTGATTTGGGGATGTCTGTAATAGTTACAATGTGTTCGTTATCATATGCGTTAAGTTGAAAGGAAAGAAATCTTACTGCCATTAAATATATGCCTTACTGGAAGTATATACTTCTCATTAAATAAATTTACATATTTTCTTTGGGATGAAAGTTAAGAAAAATTTTAATAAAGTAGTGGGACAAGATTAAAATGTTTTAGATCTCTCTGATCAAAGATCCAGCTCCAGGTGTAAAGTAGATACCTTGGATAGGAGCAAGATGTCCCAGCTGTGCACAGCTTAAATGGTAACCAAATATGAAACTTTGTTTTTAAATCACTCACTTTGGGATGATTTGCTGCACTGGAAAAAACAATGCATAAAAATGGTTTTATAGAAGAAACAGTATTACTTAGGTGACAGTGCAAAGTTCATTATAGTTCAAGTTAATATGTTTAAAGAATCATAAAAATCATGTTAAGTTAATAAAAAATGGTAATCAATATGGTGCCTTGTAATTTCCAAGCTACCTGTAAAGGGTGAAATTGCTTACCAAGTATGGGATCATCTGAGTTAGTGATCCTACTTAATTTTATATCCCCAATGAACAGATCACTGTTACCATAACATTAGTGCAGCTAAAGTGAACTTCTCTACTCCATGACTTTAGACTTGGCCATATTACTCACTTTGGACACTTAAAATGTGCTTGTGTGGCTGGACTATTATTATCTATGGTCAAATACTCTGTTCCCAGATGAAATCCTAAAGTGAGACATCCTGAACTCAGGTCCTTCTGATGGCAAAGGACAAGCCTTGAGCTGCGAGGTTCTCTTTATCTGGAGAAGCAGAACTGCTTGGGAAGAACATGCTCATCTTGGTAATGCAGCCAGGCCAGAAAACAAAATAGTTAGACCTGGTTGACAGTTAAGCTATGAGAAGAAAGAATGCAGGGCTATTTTGGGGATGCATTTAAACCTTTGGGGACCCCCTGCTTTCAAAAATGAGCGTTACACAACAGTGTGCATGTACGTAATGCCACCAAACTGCGCACTTAATAGTTAACATATGCCTTCCTATGTACAAATAACGAACTAGAAGAAATTAACAAAGCCACCCCATTTACAATCTCACACACACACAAATAATCACCTTGGAGTAAGCCTAACAAAGGAGGTGAAAGACCTTTATAAGGAAAACTGTAAAACATTGTTAAAAGAAACAGAAAACATAAAGACATGGAGAGTTATACCCAGCTCATGGGTTGGAAGGATCAACATTGTCAAAATGGCCGTCCAACCCAAACCAAATTATAGATTCATTGCAACCCCAATAAAAATCCCAATGGCATTCTTCAAAGAAACAGAACAAAGATTGCTGAAGTTCATATGGAAACACAAAAGACCCCAAAGAGTCAAAGCTTTCCTGATTTTTTAAAAAGGGGGGAAATGAAGGTATCACACTTCTGACTTCAAAGTGCACTAGAAAGCCACAGCATCCGCCCAGAGGAGACATGGGTGCAACCAGAATCCAACAAGGCCGCAGCGGTCCACCTGTCTTCTGTATTTTTAGCATCAGCCACTCGCCCAAGATGGGCTTCCTCCCACCCCCAGCCCTCAGCGGCCGGGCTCCACCTCCCCGCGGCTGGAGGGGCTCACAGGCCGCTGAGACCACCCAGGGCACCCGGCCACAGCAGGCAGCATGGCGGGACGCCTGTCCAGGGTGCCATGCTGGGGCAGACTCCCCAGGCCTCTCCGCTGCGGCCTCCTCTACCAGGGGCTGTGCACAAACCTGCCCAGTGGCAAGTCAGCCCGCTGAGGGGGCTACCGATGTGGGTGTCACCTCCTGCGATGGCGCCGCCTGGATGCTGCCTGGAGGCATCCTGGCCACCACCTGCCAGGTCCTGGCAAAATTGCTCTTGGTTGTTCGCAGGGATGGGAGCTATTCTTTGCATTAGTGGGGGTCTAACAACTTTCCTGGTCTCTCCCGGCTAGACGGCAGTGGCCCACGCACTCCCAGTCCAGTTGTGACAACCACAGATGTCTGCAAACACTGTCAACCATCCCCTGGTCTAAATGAAGGGGGTATCCCTCATTAGGTGGGGGACCAAGTACATGCATGGGGGTCCTAAAGAGCAACGCATGAGCCAAGCACGCTGGCGCGAATGTGTGTGTGCGCCTGCCCGGCAGGCCAGCAGCTCTCCAGGCTAGAAACACTGTTGAAAACTGCAGTGACCAATCCCCATTGGGCTTCCATTAAAAATTGTCTAGAAATAGACACAGGAGTCTCACTGAGAATTTGGAACATCAAAAACATTCGTTTTGAAACAGAAAAGTACAACTGGATAGATCAGTCAATAAATGATGGGAGGGCGCTCAGCCTCCTGCCACTACCAGGGTGGGGTGGGGGGTGGAGGGGGTGAGGTGGTGGTGGTGGTGGTGGTGGTGAGGCCAAGCTGGTCGTGTTTCCCAGTTTATGCCCTGCAACTGCAGTTTCACAAGGACAAGTGGCTTCCACACTTGACTTCTTTAATAGCAATGTAGTATTCAATTTATTCTGTCCATTAATAACTAATATTTGATGGCTCTGCCACATGACCCAGGGATTGCACTCCTAGGACACAAAAACACTTAACTGAAAGGAAACCCTGCGCCTACGTTTCCGGCAGCACTCTTAACAATAGCCACGATATGGAAACACCCTAGACGCTCCAACAGATGAATGGATCAAACTGTGGTCTATAGACACAGTGGAATACTACTCAGCCGTCAAAACAGACAAACACATGCCGTTTACAGCAGCATGGGTGGAGCTGGAGGGGATGATGCTCAGTGAGATAAATCAGAAGGAAATACATAAATATCAGACGGTTTCATTTACAGGTGGAATACAGGGAACTGAATAAAGGGTCAGGAAAAAGACAAAACTTGCAGGCGAACCACAGGTCTGAGGCACACAGCAGTGGAGGGGGAGGGAGTCAAAACAGGGGAGGGAACATCACAGGGGACTGTGGTGATGGTTCATGGTGCTGTGGTGGGGGGGGATTATGGGGCCTAAGCGTGAGGGGAGAACCCAAACAGTCTACAAAAATGAACAATGGTGTAAGAAAACAAACATGAGTACTACAGTAGAGGGGCTCGACAGAATTAACAGCAAGTGATGCGAAGAACCCAAGAAACTGAATGTAAAATCGAGAAAACAAAACAGCACGGAGAAGACAGAATTTCTAAAAAACTAGTGCTCGAGAGCGTTGACAGCATTCCCGGAGTTGACGGAAGGGAAGCGCACCTCCCACTGCTGTCGTCCTCCGCACAGCGCAGTAAAGGACAGCGACACAGCGGCGGCCCCAGCCACAGGGTCAAGAGGTCGTGGCTGCCGCGTGGCTCAGCCCGGCGGGCCCTGCGGAGGGCGGGGAGCGCCCCGGGGCGCGCGTTCAGGCAACACAAAGGTGAAAACGCTTTCGCACCTCACCTGGAGTCACCACGCGGAAGCAACCGCGGGGGCAGGCAGGAGGCAGGTTTCTGTGATGGGGCGGACGGGGCGAAGCGGCGTCCTGGGCCTGGGCGACCCCCGCAGTCCCGCTCCCGCGGCCGCAGAAGCCAACGCCGCAGGGGGGCCGGCGCAGGCCCCGGGCAGGGCCCCCCTGACGGCGCGGGCAGGACAGCCTGACCCCCTTCACCCCGCAGCCGCGCCCCACCGGAGGGGGACGGCCTCGCACGCCCGGCGCCTGACCGGGCTCCCCCGCGGGATGGCCCCGCGCCCGCAGCCGCGGCGAGGAAACGCGGGCCCCGCAGAGGCGGCCCTGCGAGGGGAGCCCCGCGGCGCGGACCCCGGAGACAGAGACCGTCACCCCCAGACACCGCCCGGAGCGACCCCCGGGCGCGCCACGCGAGCAGCAGGGGGCCAAGGGAGAGCGGCCGAGGGGCTCCCGGGGGGCCACGCGCTGAGCCCCGCGGACCCGCCCGCGCGCGGACGGGGCTGGACACCAGGACACTGAGCCCGGGTCATCGGGAGGGGGCGCCCGAGTGCCCGGGAGTGAACCCCGCCAGCGGGGCCCCCACCAGCGGGGCGGCCTGCCTGCCGAGGGGAGCCGGGCACCCCCCTTCCCTCTGGGCTCCCAGCCCCTTCTGGGCCTGTCCCCCGGCCCTCTGGGCTCCCCCTCACCGCGTTTTCTGCCTCTGCCCGCACAGGGCCCTCTGCGCGCCGCTGCGCCCGCCCGTCACCCCCGTCCTGGCTCCGGCGCCCCCCTGCCCCCCCCTGCCGCCGCCAGGCCTGGGACGGCCCCCGGGTCTGGCTCTCCAGCCGGAGGGGACGCCGCGCGCCCTGGCGGGACGGAGAGGCCGGGCCGGGGTTGCCTCCTCGGGGTGCGGGGGGAGGTGGGGGGTCAGGCGCCGGGTCCCGGGGCGGGCGGGGGGGGCCTCCGGCCCACGAGGAACCTCTTCCCGGGCCCCTCCGGCCTCCCCGCGGCCTCCTCCCCCGCCGCGGGCGCCCCCGCGGCCCCCACGCGCGCCGGTGGCTCCGCCCAGGCCCAGCCGCGCGCGCTCGGCCCACGCGCACCCGGCCCGCCCCGTGGCGGTTGGGGGAGGAGACGCCCGACCCGGGAAGGGGAGATGATGGAGAAACGACACTCGGGGCGCCCTCGCCCCGCTGTTTCTACTGAAGAACAATAAAAATCTTTTTAATTCTGAAGGGCGGGTGGCGCGTCTTCCCAGGAACGGAGACGGGACGCGTTGTCCCTCGTCCTCGCCCGCGTGTCCCCGCCCGTCTGCAGGCTTCGGCGCCAAAGTCTCCGCCCCCCCCCCCCCGCGCCCCTCCCGTCTGCGGGGGCCTGACGTCCTCATGCCCCGCGGCCCCGTAACGGCTTCTCCACGCGGGCGCCCCGCGGCTTCCCTGCCCAACCCCCGGCCCTCCCCTCTCCCTTCCTTCCCCTCCCCCACTTCCTTCCCCTCCCCCCTTCCTTCCCCAACCCCCTTCCTTCCCCTCCCCCTTCCTTCCCCTCCCCCTTCCTTCCCCTCCCCTCCTACCCTGCCCTCCCCCACCCCCTCCCTTCTGCTCCCGCCCCCTCCCTTCCCCCCCTCCCCTCCCCAAGTCAGCGCGGGCTCCCCATCCCGGGCCCTTCCCCGTCCCGGCGCTCTGGCGCGTTGCTCCTGTTCGCCACGAGGCGGCGCCCTCTGTCGTTGCCCGGCACTTCCGCCCTGGAGGCGCTGCCCGTCCCCTTCGCGCCCGTCACTTCCCGCGTTTCCCTCACCAGCGGCCCCGCCCGTCACTATGACGTGCTCCGCCCCTTTCCCTTCCGCACCACATTCTGCGCCTGGCGCCCCGCCCTTTACCACGCCCAACGGCACAGTCACTGTTATCCCGCGTTCTTCCTGCACTACCCCTCCAGCCCACAAGACGGCGCACTCCGCTTCTGCCGGCCTTGTTTTGCCGCAAGAGCCTCTCCTTCCTCTCGCCACTTCCGTTGTCAGGCTGCGATTTTCCCATGTTACCATCACAGTCCACAAGACGGCGCACTCCGATCCACCCGCCCTTGCTTGGGTCAAGGAGCCTCTCCTCCTCCCACCACATTCATGTCACGGGGCCTTGTGGGACAGCTAACACGGAAGTGGCGGGAGGAAGGAGAGGCTCCAGGGGCAAAAGGAGGCGCGTATAAACGGAGAGCGCCGTCTTGTGGAGCGGGGTGGCAACATGGGAAAGAAACTCAAGCGGCAGGAGGAAGGAGAGGCTCCTGCGGAAAAACAGCAGAGGTAGAAACGGAGCGCGCCGTCTTGTGGGCCGGAGGGGTACTGCAGGAAGAACACAGAATAATGAAGCCCCTGGGTGCGGTGACGGGCGGGGCGCGCGAGGCACCGGGAGGGAGAGGGGCCGAGTGCAGAATAATGAGGGCGGGGCTGCTCGGGAAACGCGGAGAGTGACTGAGGCCCGAGAGGGAATGGAAAGCGCCATGAAGGTGACAGCGCGGAGAAACGGCAGAGGGCGCCGCCTGGCGGCGAGGAGCAGCAACGCGCCGGAACGGGCAAAAAACGCCCTTTCGAGGCGGGCCAGGGGCAGGCTCGCAGGGGCGGGAGGCAGCAGTGGCAGGTGTCAGAGCCTTTCAGAAGCAGCTGGGGGGAAGGAGAGTCGGTGAGGAAGGGCTGGGAAGTGTGCGCCTGTCCCCTCCTGAGGAGACACCATCACACCCCCGTTCTGCAGAGAATTTTGAATTTAACGTTTTTATTTTAAATAGAAATAGGCATTCTGTATTTCGGAAATGACCTAGGAAATGCTTTGAAAAACAGATAAAAATACATGTAAAATGTTCACCAGCACTTTCTTTACAGTAATGAATGATTGGAAGAAATCTAAACGAAAGCTCCAAGGAATGGTTAATTACAGCATATGCATAAATGAAATGTAGCAATTAGCTACAATACTTATTAAGTTTTTTAATGTTGCAGGAGAATACTTACAATGTTAAATGATGAAAGTGGAATATAAAACCCCGGAGACATTTATAATTCCATCATAGAAGAAAAAATGAAATAATCCTTATGTGTGTGAAGACCAGAACAGAAAAATTATTACTTTGCATCAGGTGGAATATTATAAGCAGTGAAATTAGGCTCTAGCTGCATCCAATGTGGGTTAATCTTGCCTACATACTGTTGAAAGTGCCAAGCTAAGAAAATAAACATAATGTGATTTACTTTAATGTTAAATACTAGACAAAATTAAAATCATTTTCATTATACATTTCATGATACATTCTTAGGTGATATAATTTAGATGAAGGAGGAAGAAGATAATGAAAGAAGAAGATTATGATGTGTTGTGATTTTATATTTCTTGACCTGGTCAGCTGGAGGGAGTTCATTTTGTAATTCTCAAACTCTACATCTTTACTACCTGTGCTTACACACAATGAACAATATTGGAAAATATCAGGAAGAGAGTAAGCTAACTCATACCAGTATGTATGTTTTGATGGAAAAATCATAGTTGACAATATTGTTCATTATATTACTTTTCAAAATTTCTATAATGTGCACACTCCCTTTTATTATCAGAACCAGTAAACTGAAGCTAATGAAAAAACATCATTGCTGAAATTGCCTCCCTGCTCCATAGCAGGAGAGCTGTAACTGGTAATTTTTTTTTTTTAAGTCTTCAGAATTCCAATGCGGTTATAGAAAAACATTTCAGGGTGGAAATATGGACTCCTGCTGGTCAAGCAGGCACGAGCAGAGCAGCAGCATTTGGAGTGTTAATGCCAAGGTCACCTCGTTGATTTTAGTGACGGGGTTTGGGCTTCTAGCCTGAACCATGCTCCTGCTAGTTTTCAAATCCAAGTAACACATTTTACCATTTTTGTTCATTTTTAAATTTAGAAAATTATTCTGTTTAATACACGGCTTTGGGTAGCTTGAGTTTAAAAAAACACAAACAACAGTGAAATAAGACAGGAGTTCAAAGTCTGGGCCCTTTCAAACTTTCCAAATAAAAGAGCTCTGTAAGTCGGATATACCTATGGGGAGAAGACAAAATTAAGAATGGAGCCATGACATTTCATCAAACATAATTTTATATAACTGAAAGAAACTTCCTGGGGGTAGTGAATTTTCTTCACAAAAAGAAAAAGCAAACGGGACACAATGAAGTTCCTGTGTCCAAATTAACTTGTCCCACATCAGTCTAACTCCAGTGTTCTGGCAAACGCTTGCTTTCATTTTCATCTCATCCTAGAGCTCAAATCCTGACTCATTTCAGCAGAGACTCCACAGGCCACGGGAAAGACTGTGACATTACAACACTCCCTGACACACTTTTGTGGTATTTCCACATGAGTCTTATTCGGGGCAGGCCTGCACACCATACAGGTCAGAAGCACCATAACCCTAAGACACTGTTGCTAAGATTCAAATAGGAAAAAGGAAGACTCCTGATGTACAGCTGATGGGGTGGGGGGGCATGAGAAGAGGATGGTGTCAGGCAGGGCTACCTAGAAAGCAGCTAATCTGAGGACTTACCCTTGAGGACTTATCCTTAGCCTAAAATAGAAGTGGGGGGGGGGCGCAGAGAAATGAGAGTGAGCAGGTAAGAGAGGCCGGGGGCCTTGGGAAAGTGGGGCAGACAGCAAGAGTCTCAAACTGCATTCAGAGGCTTGGACTTAGAGACAGCGGGAACCAATGATGGACTTTAAGGCCTTGAATAAGGACGTGACACGTAGGTTTGCCTTTTGTAAGGGGCAGTGAGGCCAGAGGGAGGCTGCAGACGGCCCTCGGGACCGTTTGGTTCTTTCCTTTTCTCTCCCCAGCTCTGCACAGACAGCAGAGCGTGCTGAAGACGTGAAGTCAGCCCACCCAAAACCAGTAATAATATGCTGTTGCTCTCCTGTTAGCAAAGTCAGACAAAAGTGGAGTTTCAGAAAGCGCAGTCCCCTGGAAAAATGGATGAAAAAGGCCCTGAAGTTTTCAATGGAGGGTGGCCAACTTTCAAGACTTGTGTATTTTAAATGACACACGTGACCAGAGAGACGGGGCTGAGATGGGGTGCTATGTATTAGCGATGTCACAT